GCCTAATTGAACGCAGCTTTCATTCAAAATAAAAATTAAATTTGACATTATTTCTTCATTTTCTATAAAAATCTTGACGTTGCCAAATCAATGTGACAATTAATTGTTGCTTTTTAATCGGCTGGTGCGAATTAAACTACGATATGTAATACTTAAATAATAAGTTTCACTTTACTAAGGGGAAATGTATTCTGAAGCGGTGCGAATGGCCCTATATGACCTAAACCCTACTCCTAGTTTCTAAGTCGACACGGGTGCAAAAAAACGGTCGGTGCGCATGACAATTTGGACGCCAGCCTGTCAATTTCAAGCATTACGTCACGTTTCCCACGGGTGTACTACGATAAATTATATTATTTTTTATTAATAACGCGCTATTTTATTAATAATTATTATTGGAACATTTGTTTCAGCTGCGTATTAATCAAAAATCATTTTTAAGTGATTTTCTTAAAATAAAAGTTGTCTAGTTGAATGTAATAAGTGTTAAATTTAATTTTGATGGTCCTTTTTAGTGCATTTCGATACGCACATGTGGGCGCCAAAGTGTCAAATATCACCTCGCTATGCGGCTAGATTTTATTCATCGGCTTTGTTCTTCCAGTTTAATGTATAGTTTAGTGATCCGATGTGGATATTCAAACGCGGCAATAGAAATGCCTTTATTTTCGAATTCCCATTTGGCAATCCTGTTTGTGTTGTGTGCACATGCATACTTTGATTTTCTTTTAGTATACGGAGAATGGTCGCACTGCGCAGCTTTCTGAGTGCCTTTTAAAAGGAGATAGAAAATTCCGCCATTTTGAACCCTTATTACGTGTTGCCTACATCTTGGCGCAATATTTTTAATAGGTGCGTTTTAATCATCCGCTTCTGCTTCAGAATTGTCGGTTTTCTTGTTTTAATCTGACAGGTTAAAACGACTAAACCGACAATTCCGGAAGCAGAAGTAGATTATTAAAACGCACCTGATATTTTCTTAGATAATATAATAGCAGATAGGCCACCACTGCATAAAGTTATACAATATTAATCTCGCTATCATATAATCAGTATCTCTCTTTCTAATGAAGGCTTTCTCACTCGTTTTAGAATTCTCAGCAGTAGCGTACCGTAAAACAATTTCGCTGGGTCATTTTAAATGCGAAAATGTTGACCAAATAGAATATAAAATAAAATGTTTTAAAAGGTAGGTAGGTAGGTAGGTAGGTAGGTAGGTAGGTGCATTTTTAATGAAGTGAAAACAAAATATGACTTTTTTGTTATGAATATAATATTAATAACAATTACTTTTAACACCACAACACGAACAAATTTAAATTAAACACTGGAATAATTGTCTGAGAAAAGCTTTGTAAAACTGACAAATACAAACAAAGAGATAGAGATATTAATCTATTTCTCTTTAATTAGAATTCTCGACCATATTATCATGGCGACAGAAATATTGTTTACTGTCCTCTCTTTACTACTTACTTACTCTGAGGATATTTTTCTTGCTGCTGTCAGTGTCAGTGAATATTATTTTTGGAGTCACAGTTTATTGCCAAAAAATCAGTTAGCTCACTCGGACCAGTTGAAAGTTCCAAAATAACATCCACTCCATGGATACAAATTCAGGATACGCAGAAGACTGCTGTTTTATTATAGGCGGTTGTCATATATTGTATTATTCGAGTTGCGCAGTGTATAAACTGGAACATTGAGATTAAAAGTGCCGACGTAGAGTGAGCGATCTGATTTTTTAGCTATAAACTGTGTCATAGGAATCAAAATGGCCGCGCCCTATGTTGGGCGTGTCTGACCTCTCTCTTGCCCCGTATAGTAATCAAATGCCGCGTTTGAGAATCCACATCGGATGCATCTGAGATGTTATGAATTTTTTATCACGTGATAGAAAATTAGATCTGAATGTAGATGTAATAAAAAAACGCTCTAGACTTTATTGGTCACGTGATAAAATGTCACAGACAAGTTAGAAGTTTTATACTTTTTAAATTTGACTTTTGAGACTACAAATCAACCTAAATTTGAAATCTAAACAAAAATTAAACAAACTAATCACTTTTATATTCATGCTAGCATAAACAAAGGATAAACTGACAAACTTGGCTTCACAGAACACATACTTTCTGGCATGGAACGAACATTCATTCACATCTCATTTGAAATCGAGATGTAAAAAATGTAATCTGAACAGGTACATCTGGGATAAACAAACGCAGATGTAGATGTAGTAGATGTGTCCGATGTGGATAAAAAAACGCTCGAGATGTAAAAAATGCATCGGATGTGGATTCTCAAACGCGGCAAAAGTAGGTATTTTCCTTTGCATCGAAAGTGTAGCACTGAGCTACACCACTTCTGAAAATATCGTTCCATTTATACAAATTGTATGGATGGAACAATATTTTCAGAAGTGACGTAGCTCAGTGCTACACCACTTCTGAAAATATCGTTCCATTTATACAAATTGTATGGATGGAACGATATTTTCAGAAGTGGCGTAGCTCAGTGCTACACTTTCGATGCAAAGGAAAAGATCTATTATGTGGTTGTGTGCAATGAACCTATTCTCTAACTCATGGGAGCACTCCCATACTCCCATGCCAACTTTGCCAAGTCGACAGAATAACTTTGATCTACTATTTAAGGACCGATCCACCGTTGTGTTAAACGAAGTTTAAAATGACATTTTTACATTAACAATGTCATTTTAATCTCCGTTTAACTCAACGGTGGAATCAGCCCTTAGTAATTCAAATTTGCTTTGTGATAAATACGGACCTAATCTGGCAAGCCCGCAATTCTCCCTCCCATAGTATAAAATCTGACCTTACTACGCATGTACCTGGGCTAAAAGTGAGTAAGTACGATATACCCACCTAAGAGTAAGAGAGCAAAATATATGGGAGCACTCCCATGGGAGCGCTCCCATGACTTAGTGAATAGCTATCCAGGGGGTCGATTCTCGACTTTTAATCCCATGGGAAAATAAAATTTTCCCATGGGAATTCAGTTTTCGTATTCTCGGCATAAGCGGTGGAATATTTTCCAATGAGAAGTATGGGAAAATATTCCCCTGCTTGCGAGCATTGGAAATTGTGTTTTCCAATGGGAATTGTACTAGAGTTTGCGCATTAAAGTCGAAAATTTGACGAAAGACCACGCGAAAGACTAAGACATAACCACAGATTATTGGATATCTTGGATTTTTGGTGAAATTGTAGTTAAAACATGTTTTTTGTGTATTTATAAATTGATATTATTTTATTTATGTGGGTATATTATTTTTACCTCTCTTTCACTAAGAAACTGATTTTCTTAAATTAGTTAGAAATTGTGGGAGCTGCTAAGGGACTGGCAAATAGGTAACACAAGTTGAGAAATTTGTAGTAAATTTAATAAGACCATTTCGAAAATTTTATTATTTCCGTTAACGAAAGAATTTCTTATATACATATATAGTTTCTCGAAACTTTCGTTGCTCTTCTATACAAAAGCTACTTTTTCTTTTTTCAATATGTGAAAAGAAAAACTAAAAATAACTCGATAAGTTTTAATTATACATAATCGAATATTTTCACTTGTCCTCGGTCAAGCTAGCGATTGCTCGGCACGGCATCTGCTCCAGCGCAGAGGCTCGGCAGGTAATCGGTTACCCAAAAACCACAACAAATACAAATAATACCAACAGTAAATTTTAAAATATCTTTAATGTTATTGGTTATTTCGAAATATTCGTGAACTTAATATCAGACATACGTGAAACTATTATTTCCATGGGAATGTCTATTCCGACAAGTTCGAGAATTGCATAACCTATTACCATGGGAATATAAGTAGTGGAATCTTTTCCCATGGGAAAATTTTCCAATGAACTCGAGAATCGAGCCCCAGGAGTGCGTTTAGAAACCTCGCGTCTGGACCCTATTCTAATGCATGTGGTCAGACGCGCCGTGCGAGGTTTCTAAACGCACTCCAGGGGTGCTATTTTCAAAGTCGAGAGAATTCATTTCTCTCGAGAGAAATGTCATACGTCAACGTAAAACAGTATTTTTAGGGTCCTAAGGGCCAGTGTAAACTCACTGATTGTTTCTCACGGTTTATTTAGAGATAATTAATATCCTCCTAAGAATTTTAATCCTCGAGGCCTTTAAAAACAGCGTTTCCACATTGACGTATGACATTTCTGATGAGAATCTTGAGAGAAATGAGTACTCACACGGTTTGAAAATAGGTCCCCTGTTCATTGGTTGTGTGACTTGTCACTACTGTCAACTGTCATTTTTTGTTTATGTTTTTAAAAGCATTGATATTTTTAGTGGTAATCATAAGTTTTATTTGGTTTTAAATGAAATAAATTATTTAGAAAAGTGATTTCAAAATGGTAACGAAGTGTATAGTTTGCCAAAAACGTTATCAGAGAGGCAATGGTCGCTCTTTCCACAGGTAGGATAAACAATATCCCACTCTTCTAAGATAAATAATGTAATATTAA